ATATATATATATACACAGATATATATATGTTTTTTTATGGAAATTTCCCAGATGATTATAATACGCAGGCAGGATTGAGACTCAGTGCCCTGGATCCCATCAGTGTCTGGTTTTAGGTGGGACAGTTCATCCTCAAGTTTGATTATTTTATTGCCTTCAAAGATATTGTATCTTTTCTTTTTTTCATCTACTTACTAATCATCGACTTGCTTCTCGTGAGTGAGCTCTTAACCAACTGAGCCACTTGGCTGGCCCTCGACTTGGTTCTCTAACATTAGAAATACTGTTATAGCAGGAAGTAGAGTGAGACAAATTGAGCTAAGGAAAGGAGTATAACTTAGTGGATGTCAGGAGTGTAATGGGCACTTCACATTCAACAGAATTAAGTCAAAATTCCTTACAGGCTCGATTTTCATATCGTCATTTCCTACATCTAACACACAAACGTTATTCTAATGGAAAAACAACACACTCCTGTGTGTCTCCTCTACTCTCACACTACACTTCTCACCACCAAATGTGCGGGGTTTTTTCCATGTCAAGCAATTCTGCCACACCAGATGGGTGTCCTGTAATTTAACTCAGTTCTGACACTACCTGCCTGGAGTTAGCATCGGGTCCCACAAGTTAAGGGTTTATTTCCACACTTGAGATGCCAGCCGCAAATCCAGCTTGTCACCCGTGCTTCTGACAGGCTATAAATTGGAGGTTCCCATGACCCCCTCCTTGGGTTTGATTAATTCGCCAAAGAGGCTCACAGAACTCAGGATTAGTTTACTTACTAGGTTGCTGGTGTGTTATAAAAGGAATACAACTCAGGAGTAGACATGGAAGAGCTGTATAGAGCAAGGTATGTGGGAAGGGGGAGGAGCTTGATGCCCTCTCCCAGTGTGCCCTTCTCCCAGGACCTCCACATGTTCACCAACCCAGAGCTCTCAAATATTCTTGCCAAGTTATGGTTAGGAAGCCATTGCTTTCAAGGTTTTTTATTGTAGCATTCTGAGAGTGTATTGCAATTGAAAGACCATGGGCTTTAGAGATGAAATCCTGGCTGCAATGCTTGGTTTTCTCACTGACAAGCTTTGTGACTAAACAAGTTACATAACCTCTCTGAGCCTCATTATTCTCAAAGATCAACGATACTAATCAAAGACACTTCATGTAGTTACTGAATGATCAATTCAGATATAAAGGAGGCATAGTAACATAATAAAAACATCATGAACTTTTAATTCTGTTCTGCTACTTGCTGTGAGACCCTAGGACATGTCATTAAATCTCTCTAAGCCCAGATTTTCTCTTCTGTAGAATGGGGATAATACATGTCTCATTGGGTTGTATGAAGACTAATTAAGTAATAGTTAATAACAGCTAACACTATGAAGTGCTCATTGCATAGTTCTAAGAACTTTATGTATGATTTATAAGCCTTAAAAACATGTCTTATGTTAATAGCTTTAGGTAAGGTACCAACTTTCGGGAAGTAAAGGAAATGAATATTCTAACATGTTGCTAAAAGTTAATTGTTTTGTGTATTCCTTAGGCCGATATTTTGGATGTCAATCAGATATTTAAAGATTTGGCCATGATGATCCATGACCAGGGTGATCTCATTGGTATGTATTATTGATACCCTTAACATAAAGGTGAGTTGATAGGATTTTGTGCAAACAAGTCAGTAAAATGTGTCTTAGGAATGCCATTTAAAAATTATTAAATTCATTTTCTTAGCAATTTTCTTATGTGGTAAAATATAGAAGTTAAAGTGAGGCCTCCATGAATATTCAGCTCCATTTACTTGCCATGTAAGTGTTTGGCTGTTTTGGGAAATAGCTGTCAGCTTCCCAGCTTTATTCCAGAAACTTGCACAATTATGGGATTAGTAACTCCTTTTTTAAGCTTTTTATTTGGAAACAATTTCAAGTTTGTAAAAAGTTGCAAAAATAAAAATACTAAAAGAAGCTCCTTAATAACCTTTACTCAGACTCACTTCTTGTTAACATCCATTTGCTTTTTATTTGATCTCACTCTTTCTCTCTTAGTGTTAAACAAAAAATTTTAACTTCCACAGCTAAAAGTCTTTTTAAAAGAAAGGGTTTATTATATTAGGGCATTGCTAGCAGAAAAAGACCAGTCTCAAGGCATGGAGTCTAGACCACCAGCACATAGCTAGGTAGGAAAGACAATATGTCCATTGTCCCAGAGTTTTGTAAGCATTTTTATACATACATCAAAGTAAGAGGGGAGACAGGTATAAGCCATTCTGAAAGGTTTTACATTAGCTACAGACAGGGTACAGGGGGTGAAGTGGGGCCAGTTCTGGGATAGGCAAGGCCAAGTCTGCAAGGAAGAAGTGTCCGCTCCTGTGGATTGGTTCATGTGTAAATAAGAAATGGAGGCTCCTGGGCTTCGATGGCCCCTGGCTATTCTCCCTTTTGGGTAATTGTGGAAATAGCCACCTGGAAATTAATCCTAAATTCCAACAGATACACACAAATGCGAGCAGTCTTTTACCAGAGCTGGTCCACAGGTCTTAGCAGGCTAACTCTTCTGTCCTTTCTCCTGTTAATCTGGCCTCTGTAATTTTAATTTAGAACATCTCAGAATTTTTTTCTTGTCATATATATGTAATTTTTTTCTGAACCAGTTGTGGGTGACTCGCATACTTCATAACCCTTTCCCCTAAATACTTCAGTGTTTATTTCCAAAGAATAGGGCTGTTCTCTTATGGAGTTGGTAACTTTTGATTTCATGGCTGGATAGTTGGAATAATGGTGGTGAAACAAGGACCCATACATAACCTCATAAGTCTGTTCAATTTACAGTCTTGAAACATCTGATTTTGGTTAAACATCCACTGCTCTTCTTTTTTGCAGATAGCATAGAAGCCAATGTGGAAAGCTCAGAGGTGCATGTAGAAAGAGCCACTGATCAGTTACAGAGAGCTGCTTACTATCAGGTAAAAACAGGTACCAGAGAAAGTCACTCTGTACTGCAGACTTTATGGGCCATCAGAGTTCCCTGACACATTAAGAACAGCTGCAGTCTTGCTTAGGCTTAAGCTGGAGGCAAGTAGTCATAACTGAGTCCCAGTTCCATTTTTAGTCTTTTCCTTCGCAGAGAGATCTACAAGAAGGCATCAGACCTGGAATAAACTTACATAAAAGCCTTTTAGCTGCAAAGCTAACCCCATAAGCTAGCATGATACGTAAATCTGGTTTAAAGCTGGTTTTATATCCTACACAGCTGAAATTTGTTTCCATTAGGATAATGATTGGGATACAAAGCAGGACTTTGCAGAAACTTTATGTTGACTGTTGCCACAGAGGATGGGCATAGAATCAACCCCAACGGCTATTTATCTATGAATAAATAGGGGTTAATCATTCTACTTTCTGTGAAGTGATATTCTTTTACATATTAGTTGAAACTGATTTTATGAGTTATATGGGTCTTTAGCTCAGTGTACTAATATTGTGAACGAAGTCCTTCTCATTTCTCCATTTGGTGTTGCATGGCTTTTAGAAATAAATAGTATTTCAGTCATTTTCCATGTTCCTAGGATAGCTGTATTTTACCTGGAAATGTTCCTAAAGAAAAGGGACGATTAAGTAAATTATCTACATCCACTCAGTGTGATATTATGTGGGAATTAAAAGATGTTTGTGAAGAGTTTATAATTTTTATGCTAAAATGTTAAGTGAAAAACACATCAAACATCATAAGTATGATCCCAATTATATCAAACAATTTGTCTAGATAAAAGATCAGAAGGAAAGTCAAAATGTCAAGTTTTATCTTGTTATTTTCTTTCTGCTTGTCTGAACTTTTTTACAATGAGCATAAAATTTTACAATAGGTGTAAAACCTTTATTAAAATAACTTATTTTACTGCAAATAATGCCTAGCAGCATTGATATAAACGGTTCCTTTGCTAAACTGTTTTTGGGAGCCTGGAATTAGAACTTATACTACTGCCTACCACTGGTAACTGTTGAGGTTTTGGGAAGATCTCTGTGTATTCATGCATGGACAGAGTAAATTTTGAATTACCAGCAGGCAGATTTATGAAGCACTCTTGTAGTCTTAGATATAAAAAAATTTAATTTGTTTCATGAGTGTCTTCTGTACATATTTCCCTCTTCAGAAAAAATCTCGCAAGAAGATCTGTATCCTGGTGCTTGTCCTGTCAGTGATTGCTGTTATCTTCGGAGTTATTATGTGGCTAATTTATAGAAAGTGATTGATTGCCTCAGAGCCTTCTCCCACTGAACTGTTTTCAAGGGCAAGTGCTTGCTGGAGTCTTGCCAGAACAAACTGATCACAAGAAGAGAGCATACACCAGAATGTCCTGTAATAATTTAGTTAGAAACTAACGACTAACTAGTTTTTGGAATTAGTGACCTATGGAGACAGTCCTTAACAATTTATGTACACATTTTATTGATTTTTCAAATTAGGAATTAATTTATGTGAATTTTGCTTTCTCTTATATTCTGATTGCCCTTCATCCCAAGTGTTGACTGAAAATTCCATTCTGGATATTCTTGTTTTGACAGGTGACACTACAGTCTTGTAAATTGTCTTTTTATGTGTATACAAGATTTACCTTTTTATTAGCAACTAAGATAGAATTACTTTCTGGCACCCAGCATATTGGAGTCTGTCAGAAACTGTATAATAAGCCAGCAATTTTTATTATTTAACGTTTTACTTTGAATTTGTAAGAAGCCTATTGTCTATCTGCTTTGAAAGATTTTAGCAATGTATTTAACTAGAAAGTAAAAAATTGCACGTGCGATCCAGATTAAATGAGAAGTATCTATTTGAGCGGGCCAGTTGCTGGGGTACATGTTAATCTGGGTTTCAAGTTTACTTTATTATCTGCTGGTGTCATCCACAGCAGTTCATAGACACACCATCCTGTTCACTTTTTGAAGCAATTCATTAATTAACATTATTACACTCCAAGGGGTTCTTCTCCTACCTGTCTGTACAGAAAGGGATAATTAGACAAAGCATGCTTTTGGAAAGCAAATAGGGATTGTTTGGAATGATTTTTATTCTTTTGTTCAGTTATGGCTCAACATTCCTGGTGAATGATAAATGTTGCTGTCAAAAGGCTGCCTCTCGCGCCTTATAAGGGTTGCTGGGCATTTGATGGCAGATTTTAAAAGCTAGACTGAAGTTGGTTTACAATTTAGTTCTGTGAACCTGGCAATAAGGCAAAGCAAAGGTTCATTTTTGTAAATAATACTGGTTTGGAATAGTGATGTTAGACATCTTAATTTATGAACAAGAAATTAATCTCTCCATGCATAGTTTTAGATAAGAAATGTTTCAATAAAAGATTGTTGTCTTGTAATATAAATGTTATCCACCTCCCTTTTTCACAGGTTTAGAGCAGTTAAAGGGAATGCAATTTCTTTAGGCTCTCACATAGATGTGAATTGGGTCAACACTTTCAGTTTCTTCCTTTAGTGAATTAGAGGATTTGGCCACCCTGGATATATTTATATTAATTTCTTCTATTCCCTTTAATGTTACTTGATCTTTTACTAAACTAATGTGAATACTAGGGAAACACGGGCCCAAATGTGTAAGTTTCTTTGCACTCTTGCACCATTCTACCCACTTAATACAAATAAACATTTTAAAAGCTTTTGTAGTATGTTTTTATGAGTTAACATCCTAATGTGGTAGGTATTAGGTAATGTGCTGTCCTGAGAAAAATTGAGACCTGCAAGAAGACTAGAGATAAGGTGAGGATTGGTTTGGGGGTGGGATAGGTGCTGCTGCTGTCCCTTCCTTGAAAACCAGGATGGAGCTATTGGGGTGTCACAGTGGCCCCAGCAGCAGCTTCAGAGCTTATTCCTTGGTTCTATGATCACTACCCCTTCAGCTCCAAATTACAGTTGGACTTGGATACTTCATTTGTAACATTCCAGGCAAGCAAGTCTTGATTGTGAAAAACTATTTCAGTTTGGGTAAAATGAAGCCACCATAGTTCTTTTCTCTAATACTACATACGTAGTAATCCAATGATGGTGGTAATAGTGGTCATAGGTAGCAAATATGACGTTGGCCTAGAATTTGAATGACCTGGAATTTGTGGCAGTGCCAAGAAGTTCTGCTAGATGGTCCTAATAAACCTGTGCATAGAATCCTCCTTATTTGTGTTTTGTTCATTGGGGGCATCATGGTCTAGGACGGTGGTTCTTAACCATGGCTTCACATTAGAAACAAAAAATACTGATACCTGGGTGCCTCTGCCACAAAATTCTAATTTAGTTAGTTTGGAATATAGCCTAGGCATATGGACTTTTAAAAGCTTCAGATAGTTCTCATGTGTAACCATGGTTGAGAATTGGTTTGGAGGTCAAAATCTAGCCTGGGTTACAGAAGGCTTGAAGAATCTTAGCTCTGCCATTAACTTGCTGTAGGTATTTGGACTAGTCATGTAACCCACAGGCCCCCAAGTTTTCTCAACAGCTCTCTTCTAGCTATGAAATTCTCTGATTATAAAGACCACAGGGGTATGGTCTGAACATAGAAATTCTATGTTTGCTTGTGTATTCCTTTCACCTTCCTCTGTTCTCCTTCCTTTATGGAATGTTCTAGAAGTACTGGATAGATCCAGTATTCTCTCTTCAAGTGAATTAAAACTGTAGTATAGGGTAAAGTCAGGCTGGCTACTTCATCTGGGAATGTTCCAGAACAAGAACTTACTAGCTGCTAGACTGATGCTCCCAGGGTAGGTTTGTTTGGTTTGGTTTTGCTAAGGGGTGGTGGTACACTGCATTGTACCATTGGGCAAAAATATCAAAATGAAATTACCATTCAGTCAGTGCAAAGTAAAACACCCTGAGCCGCCTCCATTCAGTTGTTTTGTTTTTCGTCTATTCAGAGGCTGTCCTCAATCATGGGAATGAAACTTTTGCTTTTGGTCACTAAATGCAGACCAGAACCCAACTCCGATTTCAATCTATCCTGTTTCCTTGGGGTAGGAATCACCTTCCTTTTGGCTTTTCTAAGCATGTTTAGTGCATCCCTAGGTTTAAAAGAATTTTTCAGTACTGCCTTCCAGTGTTACAAGACATAACTAGTTTAGAATCTCCAGTTAACCAGGGAATAGTTTGAAAGGTTTTGATTCCCAACCTCTGATCCTACTTTTAGGCCTGAGTAGTTCATTTTAATACTTACCCAAAATGAAATTTGGTTGACAATGTAGCACTTAATTTTTAAAGATAAACTTGAAATAACAGAAACTTTAATGTTGGACTGTGATTAATTAAGGACCAAGTTTTTACCAGTCCATGGAGAAATGAGAAAATTGATGTTGTGGGCTTTTGAAAAGTACTGTCTTTGAGGCTAAGCTAATGACCTCCTCTAATTTTTTAAAAAGGACATTTAAAGATTGGAAAAATGAAAAGGTGGTGATGTTAGATGGCAGTCTTCATTTTTAAATCTCCTTATTTGGCAAAACAAAAGTTGACATTCCCATATGTTTTTTTTCTGGCCCATGACATCTCTAATGTCTGTGAACCACTCTTCTAGACTAGCCCCATCATTTACAACTGAAGAAGTTGAGGCCAGGAATGGCAGTCTATTACAAGAATTCAAAGGCTTGAGGAAATGCTCTACATGTGAATGATCATTTGTGGGTAATATTTGAGCTCTTGCTACCAGCAATTTACTATGCTAAATGTTAAATGTTTCACATTTTACATTTATTATACCCACAAAATCATCTAGGAGATATATTTTTCTTGTCCTCTTTTTATGGATTAGGAAAACGAGGCATAGTAAGTAAGTAACCTGCCCATGGGCACCCAATTTAGGAGCGATGGAGCCACGATTTGATCTCAAGCACTCAGACTTCAAAACTATACCTTTAGATGCTATACACTATTAGTCTCCATGCTTCACTAATATAAACTATTCTGCTCACCACGTCTTTCATGAGGCTGTCTCTCAAAATCTGGAGTAATAGCAATTTCTACCCAATTTTTCATGAACACCTTTTCTTCTGTTAGTACCCTGTGAACTTTTCATTAACCATCCTGCTAAATGAAGCCGCCTGCTTGTATTATCTGTACACATCTTTTTTTTTTCTCAGTGTCTCCACTTGATCACTCATATAACAAAGATGTTTTAAGAAAGTTTTCTGACATCAGTATGCTCCTAATGTTTTTAGGTTCTATTCTAAGGAAGTCCCAATGACAAAAAATCTTGTCTTTGTTGAGATACCAAAATCCAAAGGCAGCTAGACCATCAGTCTTTCTATTTCAAAAGAGTAAGGGCCTGGACAGCTGCCCTCTAGTTTGCTGATCTATACTGACATTACTGGCGCCCACACAGAGAGCATTTTGATTTGTAAGGTTTAGGTAAGTGTAAGGTGCCATTACATCACAAGCCAGTGTGAATATCAGCTGTGCTGGAAACAGGGAAGATGGCCAAGGAGTAAAGAATTTTATAAGGGTAAGAATATAGCTTTAGGTTTCTTGGGTGTATAGTCAGCAATACAAAGGACTAAATAAATGGCCACACGAAGGAGAGAAATTGAAAGGCAAAGTTGACAGATGTTATTAGACCACTCATAGCTAGAAATGGCTTCAACATCACCTCATGCCTGAAAGGGGCATGGAACCTCAAAGGCCTGCACAATCTCTGTAGATAAAAGTACCTTGTTCTTTTCTGTTACTCTCAACACTTTTGAGGCTATTTAATGCCTTCTCAAGAACCATGTCGTTGTGCTCAAAGGAGGGAGTCATAGCCTGTTTTCATGAAATCAAGTTTAGAATTTGAATTTTACCCATCAGCCTAGTCGCTGGAATCACAAGACTGGAAAGGGGATATTAACAGGTCATTTGATAAGAGATGTGATCAGTTAACATCCTTGCTGGATGAGTTTGTTGTGCTTTTAAAGGCCAGAAGAAAAGGTGATTCTCCTACCTGCCTAAGAATTGATCATTTTAAAATCCAAGTTAATATGTTGCAGTTAAATCTTGACCCCTGGATATATCATTAAGGGCAAAATCTTTTGAACAGGCTGATATTCAAATTTAAAATCAAGAGGGCCAGTAACAGGATTTAAGAAAGGAAAAACACCGTAGAAAGATATAACTTGCTATGCAGTGCCTCTTTCGGGGTGAACTGTAATTTTGCAATTAGTTTCTTTAAAAAAGGAAAAAGCAGTTCAGATAATCCAGGTTTTCTACAGAAATCAAAAAGTGTTGGGCATCAGTTGCATGATGATAATAAATATGTCTACCGGCGTCTAAATGTGCAAGACAGTGGTGATTAAAGAGCATGGCCTTTGGCACCATACAGATTTAGGTTTGAATCCCACTCACCACTTCTTCTAGGTTGAGGCTGGGCAACTCAATCTCTCTCAGCCTCCCCTCAGGGATCATAATCAGGGATCATAATATCTATCTCAAGAGTGTTGTGAGGATTAAATCTATATACAAACTTGCCCAGAGAAGTAAGCACCCACTAGACAAAGCCATTATAACCAGAAGCCTTGCTGAAGGTCTATTTCAGCCAGCTGTTGGCCTAGGGCAGGCCTGAATCCTAATGCTTCCTTTCACGATCTAGTGACCATGACCAAAATTTAAAAATTCGAAGGGGTCACAATTTAATTACTGCATTCATACACATTAAAGATTTAGATGTCTGCCTTCTGATCGGATCCTTACCTGGCTCCAGCTTGTCCAGTTTTCATAAACAGACCAGATTTCCAAATGATCCACCGTAGCCCTCAAGGCCCAGATTTGGATTAGAAAGGGGACGCGAGTGGGGTGTAAGCTGCTCTGCGGAGAAGGGCCAGAAGAACAGAAACAGAATGAGTGATCACTCCAATCTCTGGGCTCTGGTGTAAGCATGGAACATGGATGAAGGAGTAGCGAGATTTAAGAGCCCAGGAGGATGTCTGCAAGAGGGGCGTAGGGGGGAGACCGATACTACCCCTTACAAGCTCCTTTTCCTCAGACACCTCCCGGCCAAGGAAAGCCCCAGTCTCCGGAGATTCTTCCAGAGAAGGCCAACTGTCTCAAACACTGAAAACCACCTCAAAACCACATTCCACTCTCCACCGCCACCAGTCTCGCCCCCTACCTGCGGGTGTGAGCGCGCGCGCGCGCGCGTTCGCACAGGCCACTGGGATACCATCTCCTCTTAGTCTTCCAGTTTCCCGGCATGCTTCGGGCCCGCCAAATGGGAGGGGGAGACGCAAGATGGCGGCAGCCGCGAACTCCGGCTCCAGCCTCCCGCTGTTTGATTGCCCGACTTGGTGAGTGGCGGGACGACCAGGGCTCCAGTGGCCTGGCCTGGCCTGACTTGGGCTGGCTGGGCGGCTCATTTCTCTCAGCGAGCTGAACGGCTCAGAGACCTGGGGACTGATGGAGGGAGAGATGTCCGTCGGGCCGGGCGGCGTGTGGAGGAACCGGGAGCCTGAAGCCCGGGCCCAGGCACTAAGGAAACCCAGAGTTGAGGGCTCTGAGGTGCTCTCTTAGGCAGCCCTTTGGGCAATCAGCCGGTTGCCGGGGCACTTTGGGCCGTGGCCCTGAACTTACCCCAACTCCTGACTGAACGCCTAGTGCTCTTGTGGAGCACGGTATCTGCTCTCCTGCTCTCTTGTCCCGAGCGCGCACGAGCTAACTTCCCCGCCCTAGCCCAATCTCAGAGCCCCGCATCTCTGTTGTGCTGCATCCCTGATCCAGTACTTGTTTGTCCCTCGCAGACTGGGAGCCACCTGAGGGCAGGGACGGCTCTGACCTACCCTGCATTCTCAGCGACCAGCGCGCAGCCGGGCACAAGTGGACATCAGTAATTGTTGGAATGAACGAACCCCTTTCATCCTTTCTCAAGTTCTTGGGAATAATGGGATAATTTAATTTAGTCTTTGAGTAGGGTACAAGATGAATAATTATGAATTGCCTTGTAAGGAGACCCGTCTGAGTTAGAGCTATTTCTGCTGTAAACTCATCACAGTGTATTTATGGGTTACTCTTCTCTGCCTCCCGTTATATTGAGATCCTCAAGGGCAAGGGCTGCCTGATGCATCTTTATATTCAGCTCCTAGGCCTGAGACAGGCACATAGTAGGAGTTCAGAAAACATGTTTTGGATGTAGCATTGCTTTCCCTGTTTCCCCAACAAAATGGGCTTTTGCCCAATGCACTGTCCTTTCAACAACTGCCATACAGTAGTTGGGGCAGGATCGTCAGATGGCTATATTGTATCTTCAATTAGATGGATGGATACATTTTTTTTTTCAAACTTCAAAGGAACAAACGTAGGAAGCAAGTGAATGTGGCTATTTTCTGGGTCCTTTTTCACTTTTGTAATACCCACTTGCTTCATTCTACAGATTTTGTGTCCACTTTGGTTCCTCGCTGCGTCAATTTCAGAAGTAGGACCAGGACAAGTAAACTTATAGTTAGAAGAGACTGTTTGAAATCACCTTCCATTTCCTCAGAGTCTGTTATGTACCAGGCACTGTGTTAGGTGCTTTGCAATATGTGTGCTATGAATGCTATGGTTATAGGAGTATACAGAAAAGTTCCCTTAGACATGCCATTGTAGAAAGACCTGTTCAAGGATAATAAATCTCTTTTGTATTTATCAGTACTTGGTTTCATGGACATGATATTGGATTACCATAGCTCCCTAATTACATGTATGTACCTCTGATTTGGTCTCAGAGCTCAGGACAATACCCTTTCCTTATTCTGTGATGAAACTAATCTAGATCAGCCCAAAATACCAACTGATTTATTCAGCGTTTATATGGTATTTGTGGTAGTGGCAAAGCTTAGATTCAAACTCAACTGAGCAGACTATCCCAGCTATAGTACTTGCACTCTCTATGCTGCTTTCTCTCTGAGGTAGCTATCCAGTGTTAAAATATAGGTTTCTTTGGTGCTGCTCTAAATACAGATCCACTAAAATCTGTTTTAGAGCAATTGAATCACTGGGGAAGTAAGTGTCATACTTAGAAAGGAGCTGTAATAACAGAGAAATAGATGACATTTCTGCTTGAACATGAACTAATTATAGGCTGGTAGGAGAGCTACAGTATTGAATGGGACAGTGATTGTAAATGGCATTTACGAACTCAGCCTGAAAATGCTTTTATTCACTCTTGTTTTTCAGGGCAGGTAAACCCCCACCTGGTTTACATCTGGATGTAGTCAAAGGAGACAAACTAATTGAGGTAAGGAAATACATGTCTTCCCTTTTTTCCCACCACACTAAAGATTTTTGCCAGTGACTCATTTTTCCACCCCCTCTCCTGTGCTTTGTTTTCCAGCAATGCTACTTTCGTTCATCCTGATTTTTTCTCTATTAAAAGCACATGGTGATATAACACGTTCAAACCGCTTATCTTCCATAGACACTCAGTTATTTTTACTTCTCTCACCTTCCAAATGAAGGATTTTAAGAGATCATGGGCCCAAGTCAAACAAGAAACCCTGTAACTTGGTGAATTCCCTCTCTCTGAGTACATGGAGTTGTGTGGTAGCTGTAAGATATGCAGTCGCTAAAGAAGAAAGTGAATGATGTAGACTGAGTCTAACTTTTATGAGATTCAGGCCCAAGCCCTTTAAAGAAAGGAGTAAACTAAGATACTCAAAAAAGAGAATGGAATGGTGATGAAATTCATTCATTTATTCAAAACATTTATTGAGTGCTTACTATGTGTCAGTCATCGTGTTCGGCATAGGGACTACAATAGTGAACAAAACAAACATGGCTCTTATCCTCAAAGAAATCCTCTGGTGGAAAAGACACAATCACACAAAAAATTACATGATAATAATAGAAATAAGCACTGTAAAGGAAACGTTTAGCAGAATTCCAGCTTTTATACAAGCCTCCAGAATGAATACCACATAGAATTTCAAGAGAACATGAATTGTGATTGGCTATTAGGTTGTATGTTTTGTTTTTAATTCTATGGTACTGTTTATTTACCAAGCAATGAAGACTAAGCCTGCTATGACCATGGAGTTATGAGTCTCCATGTCTTAAACCAATTTTATGTTTACTTTTTAAGATAGAATTTAGGTTCAATGCTCCACTTTTGAGTGCAGTTTTTATTTTTGTTTTTTTTTTGGTATATATAATAAAAGCATCGTTCCATTGTTGAAAAGCTATCTGTGAGATCTCCTGAAGGATGTTCTATAAATATATCATTGTCACTTCAGGATGTTCTAGAGATACCCAGGTATTTTGCAAAGCATTAAAGCATGAGTTATGATGAATTCTTTTATTAATTCATCATTCCCTTAGCCAGTCACATAGAGCCCCTTCGTCATGGATTCTTCTTTCTTTTTTTTTAAGATTTTTATTGGGGAATTGGGGGGATGGGAACAGTGCTGGGGAATTGGGGGAAGGGGAACAAACAAGTTGCTGTCGTTTTGTTCTTCAGTCTAGTTGTGGAGGACGTTGCTTCACTGGCCCAAGTTGGCACCATCGTTGCGCTCTTCCCGGGCAAGGCAGATCAGTCGCTGGCTTCTGGACGGCTGCTCATGGCAGCTGCTGGCCACTCACACTGGCTGCTGGCTATACACGGTAGCCCATGCCAACCCATTGCCACAGGGGCTGCAGCCTATGCCGTCGCCGGCTACTCACAGAAGCCCAGCTCCAGGTTGAGCTGTTGTTCAGCATCTTAGCTGTGGAGGGCAGTGTCACTGGCCCCCATATGTGGGATCTGAACCGGGGCCCTCTGCCGTCCCAAGCCAGTTCTTAACCAATGCGCCACTCGGCCGGCCCGTATTCTTCTTTCTTAAAAGTTGAAAAACATCATGATTATTCAATGAAATAATTTTGCTAAAATGTTTATTTTTTACTATAGACTGTTCTACAGATAAAAAATATTGTTGCTAAATAGCAGGAAGCTTTGAAGACATAGGAATCTACTTTATTACTAGAATTTAGTAAGTCTTCAGTTTGCAACAGGAAGAGACAGACAAGGAGGCCTAGCCTTAATGATATCATATTCTTTTGTGAAATAATTATATTTTCAAAGCTCTTAAGTTATCTAACATCCCTCTGATTACTGGTTTCCATGAACTGATAATGTTCTCTGTCTTCCATTGCTCTTAGGTGTGCTAAGTTGCCACACAATTGTTCAGTTACAATCTTTAGACATCACTGTATTGTTCCTGAGGAATAGATTTGAAATGTGCTTATTTTTAAGGATTTAGGGCAGCACTTGATACTAACCGAGCTATCTATATCCTAGCCTTGTGTCAAAGGCTTGTGATGTGTTGTGATAGTTGGGTTTAAGAAGTGCAATATTAAAACAAGCCATGAGTCTTTTAAGCCCATTGTGTAAAGTCACACTCTGAGTTATAACTCAAAGGCACAACTGGATAATGGGGACCAGTCATAGCTAGTCAAGAAATTGTGGCTTTAGTGACTATTCAAAGACCAATGCATTACATACTCTTTTCCCGCTACATTTTCCCATTTCTGTAATTGAGAGGACTTTAATAGTGAATGTATATATGTAATTTAGAGGCCCTTTCTCTTTTTCACCCCCCTCTAAACTGCTAAATCTCTGGCTTGTCTTTGGCACCTTAGAATCATAGAAATTTGGTCACTGTTATACTAGACCTCAAGAGCTGGTGGTGGTATATACTGTTTCCTTGAGACTAGCCTATGAGCACAGTGGTTAGCAAATTTAAGTTTGTGTGGACATAATCTATGTGCATATAAATATGAATGAGAAATGCAGTGAGATTCAACCTGCAAAGATACTACCTAGAGAGAATAAGATGTTGAAATTTCAGAGCTCTCTCAATTCTAAAGCAATGTCTTAAAACTTGGGTCTAAGTAGACGTGGGGGATGATTGTCTTATTGAGCTGCCTGGCTGATGTTAAATCTTGGTGCTGCCTAGCAGTATGAGCCTGGAACAAACTCTGCCAGCAGCCGATGGGCGCTGCTGGACAGGGTTTTCCAGAGGTGACCCATATACCTATACTAGCTTAAACTAACTGAGAGCCTTATGGCTAAGCTTGAAAGAAACTGGGTAAGTGGTTTGTTTAAAGAAAAATTAATTAAGAGTGTGACCCATAGTACTTGTTCATTCCTGAAAATGT